CTGTTGCTCACTACGTTACAGGTCAATCAATATCGCTTTCCTCTGATCTATCACGTCACACTGGATATCCTGCCCGTGCAAGCTTCTGCTGTCCCGTGCGAGCGCGTCTTCTCATCGAGCAAGGAGATGGATACTCTCCGAAGGATTAATTTGTCCCCTGAAGTGATGGGGGGGCTTCAAATTCTGAAGCATTTGTATCTGCGGCAGCGCGGTGAGAGGCGGCAGGCTGGCTTCCGAGGGTGATCTGGCACCGGCAGTCTCAGTAGAACAAAAGTTGATAGAATGGTTGCAGAAGGCCATGTGAACGAACTAGAGAAGCTATTAATGAGACTGAATCCTAATAATTTACTAATACATCTGCTACGCTGTCCCCACTTGAGCCTCGCCAGTCTCCGTCTGCTCAGTGAGTACAGTTGCCTACCATATATAGTGTCTTTGTCAGCTTTCCCACAACCTGCCGGATTATCTGGCGGCCAACTCATCATTATCCGCCACGTGCGGATAATGCCGGATTTTGGACCGGTCCAACTCGTGGCTCATCCGCGGCAACACTACCTGGGAGGGTCGAGCGGGAGCTCTTCTCGACGTCCAATCTCGGCGTGAATCAGCGAGAGGCACGCCGGAGTTACATACGCATCGTGATAGAACCGCGCAGCGAGAGCCAGCGTGAGTACGCCGGCCTATCGTCTTCGCCCTTCTCTGTGAGTGAATTCGCGACGATCCTGCGTGGGTAGCCGTTGGTCGCCCCAGGCACACTCCGCTCCATGTGATGTGCCCAGACTTTCGTAAGAGGCTCGGCGACATTGCTCTCCTCGTCTTCATTCATAGGCCCTTACGTCCTCTTTCCACGAAATCTCTCCGCGTTATCCACTCTTCGGGAGGCGGCCACGTCGTCCAGGGACCACCCCGACCTTCCCTTTGGTGCGTGTCACACCGCGTGAGGTCGGACCAATGTGCCCCACCGACCACGGACCACGAATCACGGCACGGCCAGATGCAGCGTGCCCGAGCACTATCCCTAATATTCGCCAGCTGCATCCCTAGTATCATCCGCCACATCTACGTTATCAATGATATATTGCGATGCAAGTGCTTCCGCCGCACATCCCCAATCGTGGGACCTGACAACGCGCAGAGCTAAACTGAACGACGCCCGGCGTACACAGCTCTGTAGATCGCTACGTGGCCTCGCGCGCGCTGCACCTCGGTTGCGGTATTGGTGATCCCTGTCAACACCACGGCGCGATGGATGACGAGTTCTGAACAGATCCCTGCTCAGAAACGCAGCTTGGCACGAGCGAATCTAGTGTTTCTATCTCCCTAATGCTGTCAGCTGCCCCCTCAGTCGCTGATCCGCCGGCAAATGCGTCCCTGGCCGCGGCGATAGTGGTGCGCCCTATCTATGTTCCTGAACACTGCGCGCTTTGTGCCTGAGTGCGCCCTCGCTCGCTGAAAGCGTACGAGACCCTCAATTCAGCGACCTGGGTGCTGTGCCGCGCCCTCCAGCTTGGTATTCCCATTGACTTTATCCCTCAATTGCCCTAGTGCCAGGCATCTGATCACTCCCGAGGTTGGGAGACGCCGCACTATTGGCTTTCGTACTCTGTCCACGGCATTTGTCCAGCCTCGAGGCCTTGTATTTGATCTATCTTATTTTGCAGTGCCTCGGCAGGTGCGCAGGTTTTTGCGCCATGGCAAGAGAGCGTCCCACGGTGGCGAAGGTTGCGTAGACTATCACACACCTGACAGCATGCGTAATGGGGCGGCGTTGGTGATTAACAACAGGACTTACGCAGGCCCTACTAGTGCTCTTCTCTGTCCGCCGAGACATTAGTTTGCACTCGCGTGATTTACCGCGCGTACATGTCAGAGACGGGCACTGTGAGCCTCGCATTCAATGCAGACAAAGCGCGCGCCGAGTCTCCCCGAATGCGGTGGCGTGTGTGGCGCAGGAAAGCATCTACAACAGGAGATTGCCTGTGCGCCAGGCGCCCCCCAAGGATCGACGGGAAAACGATGTGCGCGACACCCACGGAACTGTGCACGTCAACTGGGCCCTGTCTTTGCTGGGTGTGAGCGGGCGAGGCGCCGTCACAGCAGCACTCGAGCAACCCGCCAACACATTACGTCCTGGGCCCCGTCTGTCCACGTCGGCGCATCGCCTCGACGGAGCCTCTGTTTCCGGCGGCACTGTCGTGACAGTCCGGGGGAAAATTACAGTTCTGCCCCGGGCAGTCTCTTCCGTCGTCTAGGACGCGCGCGATAATATGTAGTGCACGGGCTGACAGCGCATCGACGCATCTGCCATGGCCCATCACGGCGGCCCGCCCACTGGGTGCGCACTCCACGGCGCGCTGATATATTCATTGACGATGCCTGTCCATTTCGTAGCTGTCGACACAACCACTGAACAAATATATTAATAGAGTGGGATTCGTCGTGAGAGCAGGGCGGACCTATCACTGTGCAGTGCTCTTCGTGATCACGCTAGCTGATAGATGGTCAGTCAGGATTGGTACGTTGTTGCACTCCGTTAGTTCGTCACCAATTAAAGATTCCGCAGATTTGCATATCAAGATGTTTGTAGAAGCCCCTTCTCGCACATGTCCAAGACAACCAGAAGTCACACGCAACTCAAGACATGATACACCGTGGCGTTGAATTTTATTCTCATAAGGTAGTACTAGTGTGATGATAACATATGTCCGATGAGAGTTTGTGTGAAGTGTTGGTTGATTGGGGAATGAAATGAACGACTGAAACTATGACCACAACGTGCGTGGGTGCACGAAGACAACAATTAATTAATGATCATGATGAGACGGAGAAGTGTTGATGAGGCAAAATTCCACAGATCACGAAGACTGCGATTAAGATGACAAAGAGTTGCGACAGGTATCTGGGACCATGCTTTTGAATGAAGAACAATTGCACAGACGTGGACGGAGCCCAAAAAAGTATTGAGGAGAGGAGTGCGAGAAAGAGTGCAACGAGCGAGATGAGATGCGATGGATGGATGTGAATAGCTACAATTAACGATGAGGACGTCTACAAATGGGCAACGAAGGTGTGGGTGCGGCCGAGCTTTCGTCGGGCATGAGGTCGAAAAATGAAATAAAGACAATGCTGCCAACCATGCGATGCGAATGTGATGGGACAAGTCCGTGTTGTGATCGATGAGGAGTGATGCGTGGAGAGTGCCTATATTTCTGAACAGCGATCAGCAGAGGTACGGTGCAAAGGCGGAGGAGGACGCACTCTATATGTCTTAAATATTCCATGATTGCAAAGGAAAAAGCGCGACTATGCCAGCCGACCGGCTCTCATGCGGCTACGAGTCCGGCCACGCTCGACGTTCTCGTCCTTGATGCAAACGTTCTCGTCCTTGGTGCAAACGTTCTCGTCGAGGGCACGCCCGCGCGGGAGGGGTTGTGGCAAAAACTTCTCCAGGCCAAACTTTCCCGCAGCCTGGCTCTTGTCGAGTGTGCCCGCGATGTCCTCGTCTGAGATTTTCACGGGGTGCCCACGAAGCGTGGACGCCCGCCGCCCGCGCACGACAGGGTACGGCGACTTGGCTCGAAGCGAATTCGTGGGTGTCGTGCGCGTTACTTTGACGACGCGCGCTACCGCGCCCGAGCTCGGAGAACGCCCGAGCTCTGCCTGCGCGAACGAGACGATAGGTTCCGCAGCGCTCGTGCGCGGCACGCCCGAGATGACGCTCGACCCTGTCAGCGTACGCTTGTGTCGTATCGGTGACGGGCGTCGCGATCGTGGTGGGAAGCCCCAGCCCTGGATAGAGTCCGGCGGGGACAACGGCTCCTTGAATTGCACGTGCGAGGGAGCCGGAGACTCAAAGGACTGCGTGAAGGACGTGGCGGTGGTGAAGGATTGCTGAAACGCAGCGGTGAGGACATGGGCGGACTCTTGAACTGCTTTCGCGACATAAGGATCGTGGACGTCTGGTTTTGCTCTGCGTGGCTGCGAAAACGAACGCAGCGAGGATGACGAGGAATATGACGATGGCTCCTGCGTCGATTTGCGCTGCTCAAACGAGTCAGACCTGTTGACTCTCGCAGATTGTGTCCGGCTGTGTCCCAAGGGTGCTCGAGGTGGCAGACGAGGTACCGAGTAAAGAAAAGGCTCTTCCCAGTAGGGGGGACGTTCCACTGGCGGGCTTTTGGTGGTCACAAAGCGAGTACTGAAGGTAAGAGGCTTTCGGGCATAGTGCGCCGAAGTATGAGTCAAAACAGATGGAGGATCCCTCTGTTGCATTAACGGTGTGTCAATACCGGAATGGGGTGACATGTCGAAGATGAGGTCGGTCGACGTCTCGTAGCACCGAGTCGGCGAGCGCGGCGGTGGGTCGTTCACCCTGCGGAGGTTCGGTATGGGGATGGGTGCGGTCGATTTGAATGGTGTATCTCGCATTGTTGAGCTGTGGCGTAGGGGTGGTGCAGTCAACGCGGCCATGTCGAGTGCAAGCGCTCCTGTAACATGGATGCATATATTCAGCACTAAATGTATAAGGCCCAATAAGGAAGGACTCACTTCTGTACTTTGCGATCTTTGTCGTGAAGATTTCGGGATGGTGAGCAATAATGACCAGGTTTTGAAGATGGGGGATGTTTTCTCACCGAAGGAGGTGGCGGGTCTTAACAGCTCTGAGCTTCGACAAGCGGTCCGAGCTGCACCGCCAGCAAGGTACAGAGCGTCCCGATCGGCGGTCTCGACACTGGGATGTAGAGAGCCCGGTGCTGGAGATTTCAAGATTCCCTCCGGAGCTACCGTTTTTCCATATGACAATAAGTTCTCAGGTTCGAGTTGTTACCCAGGATGGTGCTCGCACCTACACACAGAGCACAGACACCCCCGCACTACCCGGTCCCACAGCAACCTCCGCAGAGAAAACGCCCTCAAAAGCTGGCCAAGTAGAGATATGAAGGGAGCCAAAAGCGAGGGTTCGCTTGAACGGTGGCAGCAACGATGGAGAGAATGACAGTGAAAAAGGATGAGAGAAGAATATGTGCCCCATGAGGAAGAAAATAAAGACTCGCGTCGGAGCACGTGATTAGGCGTTAACTAGCCTCCGCTTTTGGACGGACTCTAGCTTGCAATCCCCCACTCTGTTGGTCTCGTTCAACTGAGACAGGGCGTTGGTTGCCCCTTCAACACCTAGAAGCTCACAACTTACTTGTAATGAACAGCTCGAGCTGTCTTGAATCTGAGAAGTCCTGGCTTCGCTGATCGCATCCGAGGGATGAAAGATATTTCCCGCCTCAGCAACCTTTCATCCCGTACACTTGGATACCACCTCGGATGCGGAAGTAAAGGAAGAAGCCGCACTTACGATCCGACATGATGGTCGAGCGACCGAAGGCAATGTCCGTGAATTCGATCTGCTATGTCCGTGGCCGAGATACAGAGTCTACCAAAAGGGATGGAAGTTAAAATTTAAATGCCTGGGAGGATACTGTGCCGGTTTAACTTGTGCAACAGGTGCGAGGGTTCCACGTGGAGTTCTCCTGAGGTTCAGGTAGTTCCGAATAAGCAGATATTAAATTTGACGACGGAGCTATGTGGCGTAACGAAGACCTCGCCGTCGAGGTCTTCGAGAGCAAGGCGTGGCTATAGAGTGTGATGTGTCAGACGGGGGATTTTTATTTTACCAGTGGCTATCGAAGCTCACCAAGATTCTTGGGGGTCCGCTGACGAAGTGGGCAGGCCCCACGCCGAGGTCTGAGCAGAGGTGCCAGAAAGATCAGAGTCGTCACAACAACAACGAGTTCGCCACCGGGGAGGTGTTCAGTCTACATGGATATCGGCATGAACGGCGCCGGTGTACCGTGCCCGCATTATCAACAAATGCTCCGGTACCGACTTGACATAACTTTGGGGAGGGAACGTTGGAGCCGCTGCGATGCCTCGTCGGACCCACATCGATGCATGACAATATCTCACCTATTCGCCATTCCTAGCTGTTCGCTGACCAATACTGAAGGGATTTTGTCGCGACAGTACGCCAAGAATTCCAAGTGGCATAGCCGCTGTTCGGATCAAGGAATACGGACGTACACCGAGATGAAGGATTCTACATGCGATATCAGCGCACACGCGCAAGTTAACATTGAGGAAGGGCACTTACGGATATCTTACCGATTCTGTTACCGGCGACAGAAACTGATATATACCCTCAACAACAGCGGTAAACGACGACGGCGCAGATGGCACTAAGATATTGGAAGAACCTTCGCGATGCGACGAACCGGCGACCGAGTCAAACGACAAGTTTTGCTCGCGAACAAGACGCTTCCGCAACTAGTCGGCATATCAAACTAGAAAGAATAAATACGTTAACACAATGACCCTATCACCCCTTCTACATACAGCGACTGTCTATTCGCATGAGGTGCCCCGACCGAAGTGCAACAGTTGCTCACCTTTCCTGTAACCAGATCTGGTCTCAATACTACTGATTGTACGATACTCCACAGCAAAAGTGGGGAACACTGGACCTCAAGCTTCGAGAAAAATTCGGCCATAGGCACCTCAGCAAACGTATGTTATTTCGCAGGAGCGAAAATAATCGGGAGACGTGGTGGTCGAACGTGAATGAACGCGACACTTAGCAGTTAATGCCTGGACCTATGCTGGGTCCCGAAAGAACAGATCACGATGTTGCAGAGGGGAGGGAGAGCCTACCCTTCAAAGAGCGAGCGCCGGCGCGCCAACCCTTGCCATGAGCACTACAATAGAACCTCCGGTAGTGCTGGTACAGCGGGTTGACATGAGGCAACTCCAAGCCTTCGGACGGCAACTTCACCGCGGGCCTCGAAACGGACATAGTAGAGTCCTTACTTCCAAGTCCCCGGGCCAAGGGCGGCAGTGGCTGGTGGTTGGTGGCTGGATATACATGTGCATCGTACCCTGACGCTTTGGAAGTGCCTCTCTCTGGTCGACACCCTCACCTACTGCGGCCGGTAGGAAAGGCTCAGCGGTCGGCGTCTTCACTCACTTCACCAGCAGTTCACCACTATCCAACACGCGTCATGTCCTTAGCTTGTCATACATGAGTGTGTCGCTGGGTTTTCCGGTATGTATAGGAAACATATGGGGCCAGAGGCGTGTCCTAAGGCCCAGTGCTGGTGTAGACAAGAAACTGGTGAGATGAACGATGCTAAACTGTCAAGATGTTGAGTTGTCACGAATTGAGAGACGTCTGTCATAGTCAACAGAGCTATGGGGTATGAAACCCATGGTCGCTGACTCCGACTGAGGAACAGGCCGCAAGCGTCACGCGTCTGGAAGCGGCACGCGGCAAATGAGCGTTCGTGGCCCTGGATGGTGCTGTTTCTCACAGGACCCTGCTCGGGCGTAGAAGCTTTCACAATTCATGGCCTCTAACATCTATTGAGTGTCACGAGGCACCTTCACCTAGAAGACTTTGATTTTCCACGAGACAATTGTTTTAAGGACTAGTCAAAGAGTCAGATATGTTCATGCCCAATCCTCATCTTCTGTCGTCGTCCTGGATGAGCTCTGAAAGACGCTTCCCTATCCCATGTTCTGCAAAGTGCTCTGCAATGTACTCCCTGATCTTCGTTCTGCGGAGCTGCCTCCCTTGATCACAACGTATTATTTGCAGAGTAGGATTCTCTGCAATCATTTGTACAGTTCTGTCCACCACACCCCACAAGATGCAGTTGGCAGAGAGAGTCACTTCTTTCAAGAATGGCAACTTCTGGAGAGCCTTTGCAAGTGACATGTCAATGCTGTCGTCATCAAAGAAGAGCACATGTTTCTGGCATGTAAATGAGCAGGCTAATCAAAGATCAACAAACTTAGACATACCAATGAAGTTGACTGAGCAATATGAAACTCGCCAAGCGTGGTCAGCTCACGCAAAACCTTGTTGTTCTTCTGGAACTCCTTGGTGTAGTACAGTGTCTTGGGTTTGAGAACACCCTCCTTGATGGTCCTTCAAAGTCCGGCAATCAAGTCATTTGACGTGGCTTGTAGGATGAGATACAGTGTCTCCACATTTGGCGCAAGCTTCATGAAAGAATACAGCTCTTTGCCAAATCCGCCTTCCAGCCAGAGGTGGCAGATTGCTCTGCCAAGCTGAGGGTCCGATTGTACGGCGCGTGCAACAGTCTTCATATGCTTGGGCTTTGACAAGAAAAGACATGTGTAAAGCAGAGGGAGTGCGATGCGGAACCAGCGCTTGCATACGACAAGGACCGCAGTGCGCAGGCGTATTGTCTTGAATTTGGGCAGCCTCCATTCTGAGGGATACAAGTGGTAAGAACTTGTCTTTAGGACACACAATTGCAAGTCACAGAATCTCTTGCACTAGCTCCTCGGGGAGAGTGCCGTTCATTCCTGTGGAAACAGCCTCGCCTCAATCTGTTGAGGTTGTGGTATGAGTTCAAGTGGCACGTAGTTTGAACAAAAGTGAAAAGCAGGGCTGCAAATTGAGTGGTCAGCTAGACATTCCTATGCATGCGTAGGCACATAGACACAGTCCGTATAGGAGGCCTGTTTTATAGGCCTGTCAGAGACACATGCATCCTCCTTAGCTAGAAAAGGATGCATCCCACATAGCTCCACCGCCGCATAATTTGACAATGGCGATAGTTGGACTGCTCATTGCCCAGCACACGGTAACACTGAGAAAGCGTACAAACGTACCTACCATGAATAAGCGACACCCACGATACAATTCAGAATCCTCACTCAGAGTGTGCGTGAGCAGGAATGACGGTTGCAGACGGAGCTATGGAAGTCTGCAAAGAGCAATTAATCGCTTGATGGATAGGGGATGCGTCAGCTTATTTTACGTCATAAAGCACGTGACAAAGACCTGACCCTATAAATAAGTGCTGAGCGCGTTCCAACACCGCCAGGGCCAGACGTAACCTGCTCCTCGCAACATACCATTGCGACAGACTAAAGGCGAGTCTGCGCTCTCCATGTTATACGTTTGTGCAGCTACTTACTTACGGTCGGTAAGGATGTTGCAACGCGTCCTTTCTGTTTGGACTCATCCGTCGCCTCGTGACGCGTTCCGCAGGGTCATCGAGCAGACTGTCCAACGCTAGACTCTGGGTTTAATTTCCTTGTAACATCGGTTACTCTACATTGACGCGGTCCAATGAGGGCGATGTGCCTTTGGCTAACTTCTAGGGACGCTGAACTTGCCCCCGGTCGGACGACAGGAGGCGCTGACGCCCCCTCGAGCATAAAAGGGGACCTCGATGCCTCTGACATCCTTCCGCGCCCCATCTCCCTTTGCGTACAATGTCTGTAAAGGACCTCCCAGAGGAGCTCCTTCGCGAGATTCTCTCGGCCTGCCTGGATGTCTCGCTTGCAGACTTCTTCCGGTTCCCTACACTGACGGATAACGCTGGGCACCCTCCGCGACACGCCGACCTTCTACTCGCGTCGAAACAGTGGCTCCGCATCGGCGCGCCTCTCTTGTACTCATCGCTCAGGCTGTGCAGCCCATCACATGCCGCCGAAGTTGCCAGGCTACTTTCCGCTAGCCCCGGCCTTGGCAGCGCCATCGTCAACTTGCGCATCGAGGAGAACTGTGGCAGCAGTCTCGTGGAGATTGTCAAGTGCGCGCCCAGAGTACAGCGACTCTACATCTCCGTCTGCCACATGTCTTCCCACGACGTCGAGCATCTCCGTCAGGCGCTGCCTCATATCCTCCCAAAGCAGCTTTTCCTCGTCGATATGACGCGCGTCATGCGCTTTTTTACTCTCTTTCCTTGGCCTCCCGGAACGAAAGCGGACGAGGCGTTGCATGTAGTGGAACACACAATTGCTCATCACTGGACTATGCTGGTGCGGAAGCGTCTTTCCATGCAGCTACGGGGCCTGTTAACTGACTGTATATCTCGTCCTGCAGCAAAGCATCCATTTCGGACCGTGTTTCCCCATTACCCCCACCACGTCTCTAGCACTCGATCAAGCAGTACAGGGCCGTCTCCCCGGTGAGAAAAACCCCCTCCAGATCGTATGTTGGGATCTGGATGGCAGTTCTAATCGGGTAACGGCTGGGACCTCTAGACCCAGCCCAAAGAGATAAGCACGATGCTGTAACCCCGACGACGGAGTCGGTCAGAGCAAGTCCTTTTGTAATGCGTCGTAAGCTGTATCACTTCCGCCCCGTCCTGTTGGTCATTACATACGACGATTTTGGTGCGAATAGTGCCATTTGGCAAATGCAAATTCAGTAATTGAGCGTTTTCACGATCGTCGAGTCCGTATAACTCTTGCTTTGACATCCGAGGGATCCTGGTCTGTCGTTTTATGTAAATTCTACGGGGAATGGCACTACATATATATATGGCACGAGAAAGAGATTATTCGGAGGCTCTCCACAGAGTCCGGCAGCGGTTCGAACGTTCACCCGGTCGAGCCCGCCTTCGTGGCGTCGGAGTTCCCCGACCACGCACGTGGGCTCGCCGACGCGTTTTGCTCCTACTTTGCTCGTGCTATGTTTTCATAACCACGGCTGCCGCAGGTCTGTGCATGGGATCTCCGGCTCTTTGCAGGGTCGCACGAGTGTGCACAGCGACGAAGTCGGCGTGTCCTGCTTGGTTAATATTACTATTGTCGATGCCAGCCGGCCTGTTCCCAGGGTCATTTCTATCAGTGCACGTGCCTGATTTTGAGCGGTTACGCGGCAATGAAGCATTCTTCACGAGCACTCACAGGCAGCCATGTCAGACGACCAGCCTCCAGAGTCCCAAACGCAAAGCCTGGGGACAACTTATGTCCATGCTGTTGATATTCTGCACATCGCAAAGGTGGGAGCTGTGGGCATGTCACTCTGAATATCTCTGCTCGCATACATCCCCAACCAGTCCGCCAAGATCCCTTCTCACCTCAAAGGCGATGGCAATCTGCTTCTGTTGTTACGGATCGGGTACGCGTTTCCCTGTGGACAATCTGACCAAGTCCTAGCGAGGAACCCTGACTGCCCATGAGGTGGCCAAGATCATCTCTATTCATGTACGCCGCCCTGCCCAGGATCGCGCGGTCTTCCCGAACGAGGCCGAACCCGTCCGATGACAGCAACGCACCATGGAGCGATATCCGCGGCCCTCCGAGGGGTGCACGCTGCCGATGTGCGGCCAGGTCGAAGGGACACTCTACTTAGTCACGCTGGGCTGCTCGCGCCTGGCCTGTCCCGGTCAGGGTGGAACACCTCGCCGCCGGGCTCGGCTACTCTAACCCTACTTCAAGAAGGTGCCGCTCAGGGTCTCTCTAGGCTACGATCTGGCTGCACCCGACGAATGTCAGGTTCGCGACACGGGGTTTCTTTGAGGTGGAACCGTTGAGATAGCAGGCGGTGAACAGCCCGGACAGTCATGTACAAAATTTATTACAGCTCGATGCAACAGCCAGCGCGCTGAAACGGCAAGGGAGGGGCCTGCCCAGTAGATCATGCCCACATGGATGCTGTACATGACACGATTGGGTAGGTCCTGGCTGCGACCTGTCGCACCAAGTCGGGCGTAGCCAATATACACAAGATAGCGGTGGCGGCCCGTTTTCATCTGCAGGGGAGTCACCAGACCCCGGGAAAATTGCGGACGACGAGATAACGGTTCGATAGAGACGAGCGGGCAGGACCTGCGATAGGCGCAATTTGCGTTTTGAGTCCACCGCCCGCGCAAGAAGCGCATCCTAGATAGAACCCACAGAGACAGCGATTGTTCCAGAGGACGTATGATGACCAGCAGACCGAGCAGGCATGCACCCGTCGTGTCATCGAAGGCCGGCACCGAACACGGGCGATCGGGGCCTTCTCTCTCGGGTGAATGCGACGTCACGTCTCACGGAAGACGGCATACGATCGAGCATCGGCCTAACTGCCCCGAGATGACCGCCTGCGACCCCCGTCGTGTGATTCGCCAGTGTCGGCTCGAAGCATGCACGAAATTACACACCGTAACGGGGCCGTGGAGCGAGCTGTTGCAGTGAGGCGGCGTCCGAGGTCGGCGCCACCAGCTGTCGGCGCAGAACCGACGCTAACATGCCGCAAAATTCCGAGAAGCCCTGGATGCCCAGCGCGAGAAGCCTTTATATTGAGTACGTACTTCTGGCCGGCTAGCCAGGGAGATAGAATCTGCTGTATATTATGAGGTTAAAGTCTGGCCAGCAGCAGCGTAGAACGGGGCTAGGAGAGCCGCAAATCGCCGGGTTGTATCGCTTTGTTTTGCTTTCGAATGCTTGAGCGCGCAGCGCAAGATAACGACAGATGAGGAGAGGGAGCAGTTGGCCGCCCATGGGTAGAAGATATTTCATCATCTCGGCCGCCATCATTGGTTGTCCTAAAGCCCGGTGGGTGACTCCTCCGGAAAGTGGAGAGAGCGAATCAGGCGAGCGTTCGAGTGTAGTCGAAGGGACGCTCCACAAGAGCCTACTGTAGCGCAGGCGATACCGCGCATGTTTAAACCTGACGCCCCGACCAACCGTCGCATCCGGGTGCAGTCATCTTCGCGCAAAGCACCTCTTTACGCTGGAGGGCCAGAACCCCCGTACGTAACGAATACGTGTATCGAGCGTCTGGATCGATATAGGGCTCTTCATGCACAATACGGGCCGTCGTGAGCGGCGTCCCTGGACGACGAATCGACGGGACGGGTATCCGGACCTTCGCGCCTGGTCGTTCCGCCGTGGGCACAACACGAGTAGGGAAGCCTCAAGCATGCAGGACGCACGGAGACTCGACCTAGACCGCCGACGCTCATCCTGAAACCGCAAAACGTACGAACAAGGATAGGGACCTGACGTGCGGGCCAAAGATGAGCAGTGTGCATGCACGCGCCGTGCTAGGACCTCATGTGCGCAGTGTCACAAGTCCGTGGGATAGAACAGCCCTGGAAAAAGGAGTATGCGCGTAATGTGAACAATAGGGCAGCGTTTGGGCCGATACAGACGCACGGGCGAGCGCAGCGCATGAGAAGAACTACGAGTATACGGCCAGGGGGTTGTCGGAACGTGAATCTGCGCACGCCAGGCGGTGCCACTCCGAGAGATACGACATCTGGGAGACGCGCTCCTTTGCTCTAGGAAGGCAATGAATCAACCTCAGTAGGAATCGGGCAATTCAACGCTTGCACCTTTGTTCCGTCCCGCGAAGCTTTGCAGAATTTGTGTCGCACTGGCGAGCACTGGCATGCTGATACTGTATCGAACGCGAGGTGTGTGTGGGTGCACCGGGCACGTCGGTCGCCTGGTAACGGCCCCGCGATGCCGGAGGAACGAGCAGGTGGAAGAACACCGAGATCGCCGAGGACGCCGGAGAGATCATCTCTCCCGCTTTGACTTCACGATGCCGTTCTGCGCCAGTCCTGCCGCCATCTTGCTCTCTTCAAGGCCATCTCCACCCAGAAAGATGTCCTCTCTCTTCCCCCGGCTCCCCCTCATACACTCCTTGTCCTTGGCCACTGCTGCGGCCACCAGCTGACTGCGCGTATTGGTTTCGGCACTCGTGCGAGTCGCGCACCTGGGAAGTTCTTGCTTGAGCTGGGCTCGACTGGGATTCTGCCATCTACCAAGCCAAGCTTGTGCGGAATATTGCCATCGTTAGTTTTCTGCTCATCCCGCAGTAACTGTGCCAGCGATGCCGCCCTCCACTCCGCTCCTCGTCGCACTCCGTTCCTGTGCACAATGCTCTACGTCCTCTGGACGTTCCTCTCCCTGCTCGTCCGACAGGCCCGGTCGCCGCTGCGCCACCTCCGCGCTCCGCCGTCCCCCTCTTTCTTCATGGGTAACCTCCGCGAGATGCACGACCAGGAGAACACGGGGCTCTTCGCACGCTGGGAAGCAGCATATGGCAGCACCTTCGTCTATCACGGCTTCATTGGTGGAGCGCGGCTCTTAACAACCGACCCCGTTGCGGTGGCGCATATTCTCGGACATGGATACGACTTCCCGAAGCCGGAATTCATCAGAGATGCACTGGCAAGCATGGCAGCAGGACACGAAGGACTGTTGGTCGTCGAGGGAGAAAAGCATAGGAAGCAGGTGCGTGTTACTGCAGTCGGCCAAATCTGTACAGGATGTCTGACGCTTTCTCTCTGGGCTGGTAACGTGCAGAGGAAGATATTGGTGAGTCGCGTGTCGAGCAGCCGGTTTCGTCTATGAATTTTAAATTGGGCCTGGTCACCGGTCCTTGTCGATTAGTGGCTAGATCGTCACGTTGCGGCTCATCAGGTCGAATCCTCTCTGGGACATTAGTTTGCATCCCTTGTTATGTTCTCGTTTTCTTCGATGTTTTGTGCATATCTTACTCCGCATTCTGTAACGCCTTTCCGTCTTCCTTTGACTCAGCCACTGACATTTGTTCAAATCGTCAGCTTACAAGCCATTATTTTGTCAGTCGCCGGCTTTTGCAACACCTCACATCAAATCTCTTTCGCCCATCATCTGGGAGAAGGCTATTCAGGTGAAGTAGCACAATTATCCTCTAACACATCTCCTGATCGGTTCATGTACCCCATCCGCAGCTGCGGAACATATGGCTCGACATAATAAGGTCATCTTCGCTCTCTCTGTCAACACCGTCGGATCCGTTTGCACCTGTGCAAGCACGTCCAGACGAAGGCCCCACGCTTTTTGCACGAGCTACGGGGTTCCTTCCAAATCCATTCGCATCGTTTGTGTCTTCAAAACGTTCAAAGGCAGCTATGCCCGAGCGGATATGTTTGGAGGAGCACAGCTCGATTACGGGCGCAAAAGTCGACGTCCTCGCATGGCTTGCACGAGCTACGCTGGATGTCATTGGCAAAGCCGGTGCGCTATCTCGCGACTTTTAGTGTGTGTATGCGCCAGATAATGATATCTTCTTGCTTCAGGTTTTGGCTACGCATTCGACTCGGTCACTGCAGCGTCAGACACGAGCGGCAGCAAAGGCGAAAACGAGCTTGCACGCGCGTTCGCCATCATCTTCAGCGCGGCGCGCAAGTTCCGCGTGGTCACTATTCTGCAGGTATGGTTCCCCATTCTGCGGCGATTTGTGAGTGTCATTCCTCCGCGACTACAATCAGCGTCCCGCGCCCTGCCGCTGACCGCTGGAAAGTAGCGCCGGAATAGCGCCGCTGAGAACGATGCGCGGGCCACAATGCGACGCATCGGCCGGGAGCTGATCGCGGAACGTAGACGTGAGATCCTCACAGACAAGGCACATCTCTTACAAGAAGCGATGGATGGGAGGGACCTGCTGACTGTCATGAGTGCGCGTTCTCATTCTAACTTCAGGCTGCGAGAGCTGATCGCGTCATGGATTGGCAGTGAGATCGAGTCTCAGCTCGGATCCCTTGCAGCAGCTCTCGACGGACGAGATGCTCTGCCAGATAGCGACTTTCCTTGCAGCAGGTACGCAGCTTCGCTCTCCTTCGTTCCTCCCTTCTGAAGACCATCTCGCAGGTCACGAAACCTCTGCATCCGCCCTAACATGGACACTCTACGCCCTCGCACGTTCGCCTACCGCCCAACACGCCCTCCGCCGTGAGCTCCTCTCGCTCGACCTCCCAGCTGACCCCACGTCCGACGACCTTCAACGCGTGCTCGCGCTCTCGTACCTCGACGCCGTCGTGCGCGAGGCGCTGCGTGTACATGCGCCCGTGACGAGCACGATGCGCGTCGCGGCGGATGACACCGTCGTGCCCGTCTCGGCGCCGTTCCTCGACCGGCACGGCCGGCGATGCGATGTCATTCGGCTCAACAAAGGCGACATCATAACGGTGCCGCTGCAGGCGGTGAACAAGAGCGTCGGGATGTGGGGCGCGGACGCGGAGGTGTTCCGGCCGGAGCGCTGGCTCGAGCGAGACGCGGGCGCGCGGGAGGAGGGCGACACCCTGAAGGGCCTCTGGGGCGGCATCATGACGTTCGGAAGTGGCGCCGCGGCGAACGGGAACCGGTCGTGCATTGGGTTTCGGTTTGCGCTGAACGAGTACGTCCTGGTCCATCTGGCCTACATGACTGTGCTGACGAATCCGAGTATAGGATAAAAATTTTCCTCTATGTTCTATTGCGCGACATCGAGGTCTCGATCGACCCGTGGATAGAGATAGAGAAGCGGGTGAAGTGCGCCTTGACCATTCTGATTTGTGTGCTTTCCTCACCCTGTGAACCCACTTATAGCGTTGTCACGCGTCCTTGCGTCAAATCCGAGCCGCACATGGGCAACCAGATGCCGCTGCGTCTGCGACGTGCCATGGTGGACTCGCTGGTACCAAAGCAGGGCGAGAGCGAGAGTTCGCGGACGCTGTAGGCAGTACGGCGTGTTTCTTGTATATTTACCGCGTAGCCACAAGCTTTACGCTTGCTGGTCATTAGGTTGGACACGCAACTGACGCATGTGTAATGAGGGTGAAGAAAGTTTGTGTCGCTACGAAACGCTGACTGCCCGGGGAGCATGGGGCCGCTCCCGCTCCTGAATCTTTGGGCTTTACCATCTCTTCTTTGCATCGCACTGCTAGTATGTGCAGGGGCCGTAGCGCATGGTCCCGTCTGGCAAAACCGTCCTCGCGTAGCGCGTTTGAAATAACCAAGAATTTGAGCCATAGGACAGAGCCGTGCCAAGACTGCAGCGAGTCTCACAACCCCCGGCAGGGGGGTGTCACCTACGTCGAACGAGCGCAGTGTTTTGTGCGCGACAGTGGCTTCTGTGGAATATTCCAGCTCCTCGAGTGCACGCTTGCCAGGCTCGCTGTGTACATCTATAGGCAGTCCCAGCACCTCAAGCTTGGGAAAGCTGTCCAGAATGTGGCGCAGGGTGGTCAAGGTGACCGTCGGACGGGTAGTGCGCACCGTCGCCACTTGAAGTTCGACCAGTTGCGGCCACGAGATCGCCATGAGCTAGATCGTCTCTGGCGTCGGACAGCTTAGGCTTAGTGGGTTTAGGCGCAAAGTGCGGAGGCCTCGAATGTCGCACAGGGCGAGGATCGAGGACACGTCGACCTTCATCTGGTCCGTGATAATTTTCAGGGAGTTGATAGTGGGGCAGTTTCTCGCAATACAGCTGCACAACCTATGGAGCGCGCCGTCATATTCGTCGAGCGAGTCGCAGATGAAAAAAATTCACGACGAGCTGCGAGAAAGGCATACGCGGTGTTGCCTTCACCAGAAAGGTGTCCAAAGTGACTAAGAATTGTTCAATGCCTTCTGCCCGGTCGAGATCTTTACTACCGAATTCGAGGGTTCGCAGCGCCGGGGAGGAGTCGATGGAGAGAATAGGAAGAGCGTTCATCCTATCAAGCTCTTCTCTCGTGCCGTCTGCCGTGATAGAGAGATATCTCAGTCTCGGCATTTTAGCGAGGAGGCAGAGTTCTTTCGATATCGCCGGGATCACAGAGAGCTCTTCGACGGTCTCCATGGTGTGTACAATACCGAGTTCGGCAGCCAGTCTATCTCCAGACCTGCTCCACCTGCCACTGAGACCGACGATGAGCACCGGCGGCTTCAACAACAGCTTGGTGTCACTTTGGAGTCCGACGCAATTCTCGAACCGGTAGAGGTTCGACAGTATCGGTCGATCGCCGAAGTGCCTGACGATCGCAGAGAGGGTAGGATGCGAGAGATCCACATCATGGAACCTGGCCTCTTGATCTAGGTAGATGGGTATAACATACTCTCGGACGCGTCGTGCATGCGCCTCGAAATGCACCCAGTCTGCGCTGGTCAATTCGCGTGTGATGCACTACGACGTGGCGTGGGTAAGCGCATTTGCTGGCTCAGTCAGTCAGAGATGGGGGCTTACGTGCTTCCAGCCTGGAAATCTGCCCTCGTCAGGACTTAGGGCATCGTCAGGAAGGCACATGAGCAGAGGTACGATACTATGTATCTCGTACCAGAGCGCATCCATTGCAGGCTCGTAGAGGGCCTGGCATGTTAGCCCTACGTTCAGTAACGGGCCTCGGTCTACCTTCGCCAAGACTCTGGAGAATATTTCGTCAATTTGCGCTACAGGGTGCATGTTAAGGAGGAAACGAGGATTTTCAGATGCAGTTGTGCAGAGTAGAGTCAGACCTAGTCAGGATCGGGCCCCTAAAGCGGAGGCTCAATACCATGACGTCAACAAGGTCAATTCCAGAAAAGCACAAGGAATACGCATCGATATCGCTATTGGGGTCTTCAGAGAGCTTGAGGAGAAAGCGCTGGGCACAAAGAGTCAAAATATGCGAGGAAAGCGCCGATAGCCGGAGACAGGACGATGCCCACGTCTGACTTCAACGAACTCAAAAACAAGGATGATGCAGAGAAATCAGGACCTTTCAGGTATCGTGTACAGCAGAGCCACATGATGGAAATTTATAGCACGGTCTGAACAAGAATATCATGCCCTTTCCTCTCCCTTGCCGACAGCCTTGGGCATTTTCCGATCGCCTTTCGCGAGCTGCTCCAAATCCGCAGGCTTGAAATAGTGAGGTGCCACCTCGAGCAGCCACTGAGGCTTGATCTCCATGACTTGCCTATTAAATGCTCGTTAGCTGCCTATGAAAGGGCGGAAATGTGGTATCTTACCTTAGGTACGATTTCGATGTCTGCACCAGCTCGTAGTACAACACCGCCTTCAGCGGTGGCGTCTGTTGGAAGAGACTCGATGATGGGTGAATGTAGACCGTCTGATTCGTCTTCATGGTCCGATACGAGTCACCACTTCTCTGAAGCGCGGCCTGGGCGAGACTTTGTCAGCGAGGATTTTCGCAAAGCTGTCGGTCAAAGTACGACTCACAGTGTTATAGAAGTACCCGGCGGTAATGGCTTTCTGTATCGGCGTGATGTCGTTCGTGTTTGGGTTGCCCTGCACGACAATCTCCACCCGTTCGCAGAGGCCCGCTAGCTGGTCGCGGATATCGCGGGCGCGGCTCAAGCTCTTGAACTGCAAGAATTGCTCATAGCAGAACTGCTGTGAGTAATTAGTCTCTGCCCACTGCTCCCAGACGTTGAGCAGAGTGAAGTGATCTCCGCCGGTACGGACGAAGTTCTGGCGCGCCTGATCGGCATGCAGCTTCTTATCCTTCGGGCGGTAAAATAGCGATGACGACTCTTGCAGCATGGAAATGATGGTGAGCACCTCATCCGTGCATGAGTAGTTCTCGCTAGCGATAATCGCCTTCGACAACATCGGGTCCACGGGAAACTCTGCCATCCGCCGACCCATCTTTGTAAGTTCGCCTCGGTCGTTCAAAGCGCCCAGTGCGTAGAGGAGCTCCAGTGCACGCATCAGCGTCTCACCCGGAGGTGGGTCCATGAACTCGAACCCGATAAGATCGTTAATACCGAGCGACTTCAGCAGCAGAACGACCATGCCGAGATTAGTGCGCTGGATCTCGGGTACTGTATTCTCCTCCAGTTCGTTGGCGTAGGCCCACTTGGTGTACAGCCGGAACGCCTTTCCAGGGCCGACTCGACCCGCACGACCCGCTCTTTGATTCGCGGAGGCACGAGAACACTATATTTGGCGAGATATCAGTAAACGAGCGAGGTGGTGTAGGCGCAAATCACGATAACTCACCGGGACAACGACCAAAGAGGACATGCCTGTCCTCGGATTGTACGAGTTCTGCTTGACGAAGCCCGGGTCGATGACGAATACGACACCGTCGATGGTAATGGACGTCTCCGCGATGTTTGTTGCAAGAACGACTTTCCGTGCTCCTTCCGGTGTTGGTTCGAAAATCTTCGCTTGCATGTCGCTTGGGAGGTTCGCGTAGATAGGGCACACGATAAGTTCGGGTATCTTGTTCCCTAGCGCACGTGCCGTCTCTTGCAAGTTCTCCTGCGCGGCTTCGATCTCGTCTTGACCAGTAAAAAAAACCAGAATGTCACCTTTCGGCTGGGTGGTGTGAATCTGGAAAATAGTGGTGATGGCAGCATGCAGATAATTCGCCTCAGGTTGAGGGGTATAGTGAATGTCGACCGGGTATCGACGTCCAGGAACTATGCAAGCCAGTTAGTGGTCAATTGTAGAGCTGCTGCTATGCAACGTACCATAGAAGACGGGTGCGCCGTCGAAGTACTCGCTAAACTTTTCAGCATCCATCGTGGCACTTGAGATGAGTAGTCGGAGCTCAGGTCGGAAGCGAGCGATATCCTTTGAAGAGGGCAAATATCAGACCTACGCGAAGCATATCAGATAGCGTAAAGCGCACCTTCACAAGAGCAAAGAGAATATCCGTACTTAACGTTCGCTCGTGAGCCTCGTCAATGATCAGCGCCGAATAGCCTGCCAGGTCGGGCTCCGTGAGGAATTCGCGGAGGAGCATGCCGTCTGTCATGTACTTCAGCACGGTTTTGTCGCTCGTGCAGTCTTCGAAACGAATGGAGTACCCGACCTCGTACCCGACCTTGGTGCCCATCTCCTCTGCCACACGGGCAGCGACGGACATGGCGGCAACACGGCGGGGCTGTGTACAACCGATCTTCACACCGCCGGCAGTGTAGCCAGCTTCGTGCAAGTACTGTGGTAGCTGCGTTGTCTTGCCAGAACCGGTCTCAGCGACCACGATGAGTACTTGGTGTTCCTTGATGGCATCTAGTAACTGTTCCCGGTATTGATAAATTGGCAGAGACTTTCGAGTATCCTCGATCGTCTTGGCTGAAAAGAAATCAGCTATCTGCGCGCGTTTGACATGTGGTTTAGCACATACCTCGCTGCTCTGCCTCCTCAATCTGCTGATGCAGGAGCTTGTCCTTCGCACTCATCATGCCTTCCCCGCTCAGCGTCGCATCCATGACGAATTGGATGGTTTGCTTCTCATCGAAGACAAATTCATACTGGTCCACGAGCTCATGTTTGTCCATAGCACCGGTTTTGAAGGTACTATGCTTCGTCTGGGCAGCTTCCCATTGATCGACGTCCGTACTGAACTGATCGTCTTTTGGTTTAGCTTCCTCGTACCGCTTGTACAGAACGTCCTCCTTCTTCTTCTTGTCAATCTTGCCCTGTTCCGTGAAGTAGTCGTCTGGTAACTGGTAGCCGTCAAACTTGTCGTCGATCTTCAGTCGTTCTTCCACCAAGCGTAGTATCTCCTTCTTCTTCTCCAACTCGCTCTGCTCCCGCCTCGTCATCTTCATGCCGTGGAATAGAGCCTCGTCGTCCGCTATCTCCCTACGGAGGAGCTCGAGTCGCTGAAGCTCGCGCTTGCCGAGATACTCCTGGCGAGACCGCTCACGCAGCGACGGCATGGCGTGTTCCCGTGCCTCACTGTCTTCTGCGAGTCGTCTTCGTTCAGCAGCTTCGGCGGCAGCTCCATAGGTTTTTGAGGACCGATCTTCGACGACGCGTTTGGTCTTCTCCAAGTCCCGTTGCTTCATACGTTCGGCGAACGCATCCCGCTCTTCGAGGTCTTTCATCCGCTCCCGTTCTCTTCTTGTCTCCTCGTCCCTCTCGTGCTCCAAATTCTGCAAGTCCATATCCTCATCCTGATCTTGTTCCCTGCGCCTCTCGTAGTCCTCGTTCGGCTTCAACCGTTTCCGCGCCTTCTCCTCCTCGTCGCTCTCCCATTCTCTCGCATCACTTTCTCGCTTCCTCGCGTGCCGTTCCTTCTTATCCTTGCTCTTCGACTTCGCCTTCCCACTAACCTCGACCAGCCCACTCTGCCCTGCATCTTCGTCAAGAAGATAGTCGAATCTCTGACTGCGGAGCGCTTTGGCCTCTTGCTCGGCCTGTTTCCTCGTGCTGTCCTTCTTGTGCTTGCTCTTCCGGGGAGCGCGCTGCCAGACCTCGTTGATGAACTGGTGGGCGTCGGGGATATCAGGGAGACCTGAAGCGTGGAGGCTTGAAAAGAGAGCGTCAGGAGACTTCGCGGAAGATGCTACAGGCGACTAGTCAGCTCGAAACGCAGGACGAGTGAACGCACGCAAGACTGACCTGAAGTTAATACATAGTCGATGATGCTACGGTCTGCGAGGCCAAACAGCTGAAAGATTACAATATGTCAGCTAAAAGAAGTCGTGTACAAACTGAATTTGAACTTACCCGGAGACTGTTATCGCTAATGTAGCGTTCAAGGTCGGAGGACATGGAGGTCGAAGGCGAACGTGAATTGGCGCCGAAGGTGGCAATCAAGCTCTACGGTGAATTTGAGATGACTCTCGACCACCACTTCCACTACCTTTCGGCCGCCCACTCATCCTTGCACTTTCTGACTCACCGAACCTCTCTGTCAAAATGCGTTATTACGAACAGAGATATCCCGAGGTCGATGAGCTGGTGATGGTGCAGGTTCGGCAAATTGCTGAGATGGGTGCCTATGTCAAGCTCGTATGTCACCTATAGAGATGACCGTGATTGCGTCGATTACTGAGTGAGGCATAGCTGGAGTATGATAACATCGAGGGAATGATTCTGCTTTCCGAATTGTCTCGCAGACGCATTCGCTCGATTCAGAAGCTCATCCGCGTGGGACGCAATGAAGTCGTCGTCGTTCTCCGTGTTGACAAGGAGAAGGGTTCGTCCTTCCTCTGTTACCATCTATCCTTACATCACCTAATGTTAATATCCTCTTTTTATCAAGGCTACATTGATCTCTCAAAACGCCGCGTTTCGCCTGAGGATATCATCAAATGTGAAGAGAGGTACATGAAGTCGAAGACTGTCGCCTCGATTATCCGCCATGTCGCGTCAAAAGTACCCTCGCTCGATGCTGATGGTCACCAAGAGCTAAAGTCCGCTGAAGTGGAAGAGAAGGAGCACGAAGCAAAGCGCAATCGTCGGGCGCAGAGGAAAGAGGCTCAGGAACGCGGCGAGGAGCTGCCAGAAGACGAAGGCGCAATTACCAACGCCAGCGAAGAAGAGCGCTGCGAGCAGCTCTACGATACCATTGGGTGGCCATTGGGCAAGATCTACGGCCATCCATACGATGCTTTCAAGCTTGCTTTGACGTGTGTCTTACGTCCTTTTGATTCGTTATTAGCCTTTTATTCACCAGTAATTGAACATATATCTAGCGAGCCAGACGTCGTTTACTCTCAGCTCCCAAAGCCCATTCCCGATCACGTCAAGGATATCCTCGTAGCCACCATCGCTCGTCGTCTCACACCTCAGCCTATCAAGCTGCGTGCAGATATCGAGCTGACTTGCTATACCCCTGCTGGTATTGATGCTATCAAGAAAGCGCTGCGGGCTGGCGAAGCCCAGAGCAGCGACGCCGTCCCTATCAAGGCCAAGCTTGTTGCACCACCGCTTTATGTTCTTAGCACCAACGCTACAGACAAGGTACGATCCCGTTCCGTCTACTGATAGAACTATCGCTGATCTATATTCAGTACGCTGCTGTTGACCGCCTTGAGCGCGCCATTGAAGCTATTCAAAATTCTATCGAGGGTCTGGGTGGCTCGCTAGTCGTAAAGATGAAGGTCAGTATGAGTAGATTCAAGCCGCAGTACCCCATGATACTCATTCAAAATCCCACAGCCCAAGGCCATCTCAGAGACAGAAGAACACGACTTGGCGCAGCTCATGGCGAAGGCTGGCCAGGAGAACGCCGAGGTTTCTGGCGACGAGGACGACGAGGACTTGGTGTAGAGAGCCCAAGACCTTTCTCGTTTTCTTACCTGTGTAGACTGTTACCGGTATCTCCATGCTGTATCATGCAATGATCCCTGCTTGTCTCAGTCAGAGTGTTTCTCATGTGTCCATGCCGAGTGACGGCTGCGGCATATACATATCGTATTGTGTCCATGGCTGACATAATCGGATTGCAATATTAATAACCCGCAGCACTGGTATGGCTGGTTGTCCAGTGCCCACGCGCTACTTGGTGACTGAGCTAGATATCGTTCACGATGACGAGCAAGCTTGCACCAACACTCACGAAACAAGGGCTTGTTAATTTCGCCGGCGCGACGCCCGAGTCGAAAGCGACGGTCGAACGCCTCTTGGAAGAGGACAGGCAGAAGCACCATTGCTTCTGGGGTACAGTCGGCTTCCACAATCATCTCAGTCACCAGTTAGCGCCACGAGTCTTTCATCCTGTTATACGCAGCTGAAGGTTCCCTAGTCTGCTTGCAGCCTATGACTTTGGTGCGACGGCGAAACAGCTGCAGGCCATCTACGACGCGGATAAGGACGGACTTGACCCTATCCATCTCGCCGATCGTGCAACCAAGACTGTCGAAGAGCAGCATGTGACGATCATCGCTGAGAACTGGACGGAGTACTTAGGGCAAGAGAAGTGAGGTGCCCATCCGCCCGTAGCCCCTTTCCTTGCTCATTCTTCGCCAAAGATACTATGCTAGCCTGCTGACATTCTTCACTGCTGCTGTTGAGAGACTGGGAATAGGTGAGACCTTGGAACAGTACGTCTTCTCCCCGGCCGCCAACGGTAACGGGGCGCATATGCTCCTGAGGTTCGTCAGTGGAGCGTGAGTATGGACTCTCTTCAGCGAGTATATACAGCTGCTGAGGAAGACAGTGCGCATCCTTTGATCCAGGCAGGTTACGCCGCCGAGTTCGGTACTGGCGCGTTGATGGCACAAGGCGCGTTGTCTCGTCCTGAACGGCTATTTACGCTTACAGTGGTGCCGCATCATTCCAGCACTCGCGCAGGCCGCCTGCCACTCTCCCTACATACCCGAGTTATTCGATCTTCGCCCGCAGACCAGAGCAACCAACGGTCATGCCTCACACAGCGCTGGGCCGGGGCGCCAACCCGCTCATGGGCTCTCCCTACTCGAAATCGTGCGCGAAGTATACGACTCCCCTACCATGAAACCGGTCATGCCATACGACCCCGACGCATCCCTGAGTGAACGCTCGGGGAGCGCACGCAAGGACGGGCGTCCGGAGGAGATCATGCGTCTCTCGAACCTTTGGTTCGTAGACGCGTCCCGGGGCCAGGCCGAACTCGACGAAAAGGTCGAGGAGCTCATCTGGCTCGGGACCCTTCTGATGGCGGGCACAAGCAAGCCTGGACGCAAGCCGCGGCTTGACTTCTTCCTCATGCACATGGTGACAAGCAGCCTGTTCGTGCTGTCCCTGTTGCAGGTGATCCCAAGCATAGAGTCCAAGACGACGCTCGTGCGCGCGGTGCTCCCCGTCGTCCTCATGTACATGACCGTTCGTGGCCGGCCGCGCATTGACCCAGCTCTCCTGATGTCCTATACTGCGACTCCACGGCCACCGACGAGGCAGGGCTTGGCGTCATGCCAGCGGGGCGCTTCTGCCGTTGGAGACCTTGCGCAGGATGACTATGTGAACCCTTGGCCGGAGATCGTCGCCTCAGTCGTGCAAGCCCCTGAAGCACACATAGTCAAGGCTATCCGCACGCTCTATTATGCTGCGCAGAAGTACGGTACCACCCCGCCTGGGGGCGCCATTGGAGCGTTTAGGCGAGACGGGGCGGAGACGCACGCGGGTACGGCCAAAATGGACGGCACGATCTTTATCAGGGCGGCTGGCGTGGCGATGGAGACGCTCGGCTGGGTCTCACACGGCCAGAAGGAAGGAGAATGGGACCGCAGCGCGCTCGGGTGGGACGATGCCTGGAACACACCAGATGCAGAGTGATTATGTCAATTTCTACGTGGGAAAGTGCCGAATGTACAATTAGTATAGCAGTACGGCGAAATTCTGGAGCCCCCTCTCATACATGCTCTGTAGTATTAGCGGAATGGTTTTAACTATTAGCCTAAAGTCGAGCGTGAATTTTTTGGAGGAGAATATTAGCGTCATCTTCATCTAATTCTTCTCGCGCTTCAAGCTCCAGCTTGTGCATCTCCTTCTGAGTCAAAGCAAGCGTTACATGGTCCCCCGCGAACGCCTGTGGCGCCGTTTCGTGAAATTTTGGAGCCGGAATGATGTGGTAGTGAACCTGTGACCTGGAGATTAGTGTTGAATCAGGCAGGCCATAGCCGAGCGACAGACATGAGGCACTGCTTGCGCATATTCTTGGTTGCAAACCACATTTAGTGCGGTATGTTCCAGAGCTGCGCCGTCTCAGTATGGCTTGTTATGCAGCAAATTAGACAAAAACGAGCCTCTAGTCAATGCATGGGACACTTTAGAGATGGCTATACCAGTAGCCGCGGCGAATTCTTCGGGTAGCTCTGACACACGAGGCACATGAATCTTTGGGATCACGAGTGTATGTCCCGGACGTAATGGTAAGATGTCTAGATCATCTAAGGGCTTGAGCTTGCAGGTCCTATGAATTTGGACGAATGACACTCGCCTAGAATCGCTATTACTTTTTCATCTTCATATACCCTGAAAGCTGAGCCTTCGCTCGTGATGACCCTGCAGAAGGGACATTCTGGATGGTTCTGCCACGACTGGGGAAGCTGTCTATTCTCGTGCGCTTTGATGATGAACGAGGTCATGGTGGAAGAATAGTGTAGCGCAAACCAAGTGCTCTTCAACGCTCTTGTGGTGCTAATAGTACGAGCTCAAGCTCAGGCGGCTCTTAAGGGGGGGGTGGGGGGTAATAGCCCGCCGGGCCCGGACCGGCCCCGACACTGATGCGCCTGATGCGCCACGAAGGACGGCCTGTCACGCCCTGCGTCACCACGTGTTTGCAGTGTGACTGAGTGACTACTATAACTTGGCTGTGTGCTACTTGCCGTTCAGTCTCCTGTGTCTCACCCATCTTTTCGCTCACTGTCGCGGCTCTAACCTTGTCAACATCACCACTCCTTGCTGCCATGCTCCCTGCTCAAAGGAACAAAGTCGACATCAGCGTGAGTGTCATAAAGATCGACCCCCACCCTCGTCCAAATACTTCCGCCCTTGTCTGTCCAACACTACTGACTTGCCATTATCTAGAAACTTACGGAGGAAGAACAGAAGTTGTTTCGCCTTTATGGAAAACTGCCAACGCACAAGAATGTCTTAAACAAAATGCAGAAGGTACATACAGTCATCGTAGGCATACTTAGTCATGCCCACATCCGATGTCATCACGTATAGGACCGTAAATACTTCGACTCTGGTGATTATGCACTCTCAAAAGCAGGAAAAGCTCCTCAAAACACAGTTGGCACTGCTATTCCAAGCCCTGAGAAGTTCGTCTCCTTTCCATATGTCAGGTCCGTCGTAGTTGCTGACCGATGACTCCCATCACAGCATCCCTCATGCAACTTCACCATCCGTGAGCCATACTCTCTCCTCATCTCCTACCAACAATGCCACAAGTCCAATCAAGGAAAGCCCGTTGGCCGAGCCCGAGCGCGCTGCCTTCCAAGAGGCCGAACCTACACCTGTCGGCGGAGAAGTCGCCACAGCGGAGGCGTCGGATATACCTGTAGAGGCAGAAGTTGAAGATAATGCCGAGTAATGCCAGATTCAAGGTCCTCAGGTGCGGTGGATTGTGCTATGCTTCCTTTTCAAGAGTCGCGCGACCTCCAAACACAAGAACAATAATCCTGCTTGAATCTCCCTTATTGCCTACTGTGTCGCCTTTGTACTAGTGTCCTCAATCTGGTCGGATTGTTCTACGATTCATCTTTGTCTTCCTCCGTGCCTGTATGATTTGTTATGGTTGCGTACGGCTGAAACTCCGCCGCCAAATCGTCGATCATTAATTAGTTTTATATTGCTCCTGTATACTTGTACATCATCATCTTCAGCCATTGTAAGCCGCATGTGTCTATAAAGGACCTAGCTGACGATGACCTGAGGACAATGTGTATCCAAAATGGGGTCTCGGGACCCCCAAGCCTGCGATAATTTGTATGTAAACTCGGCCTTTCCGGCCTGGCGGCTGGAGGGAATCTTCGCAGCCAGCTATGAGATAGTGGCAGAGGTTCAACGTCAATGCTCGTTCGTGTACGTGCAGTCATCCGGGACCTAGCGTAACCTGTTCTATGGCATACCGTCAACCGTTTTCGGCAGACTTCCGAGTCCATCAACGTCTGGAATCAGGGCTTTTCGACGTGTATTGGACCATAAATGGACTGTCGGCTGGAATGATAGTGCAGTACTGCCCGCTTTCCGTTACGGTTCCAAGTCTTTGCATCACGATACGACTATCTGGCCATGGTGGAGAGGCCGCTAGCCCCTCCAAGTGAACGAGCCGTCCAGAGATCGAAGCGTCGATATCACGGAAGCTCGTTGTTATCATGCACGAGTGGCGTTCATGTGAGCAATAGACAGTATGCCACTGAATGGGGCTGTACGGAAAGAAACGACGTGTCTTGCGGTGATGCGGTTTGTACGACCGCAGGAGAGTTAGAATACTTCTTGCACAGCTAAGCCACTTTGCACCAAGTGGGGCCTTAGTCTACACTGTGGTGTCATGATCATTGTCCTGGCCGTCGAACTCTGTTAGCAAAGTTTTTTCTTCTTCCTAGGCATTACTTACGGGCTATATCCGCACGCGAAGAAAATGCTGAGCTCTCCTCGGTTCTAGCCAGTCTTAACGCGAGTTCAGAGCACAGTGCCGGTCAGACGCACTACCGTGCTGTTATTTTAGCGCCACACTAGTGGTCCAAGCTCACCTATCCCGCATTCAGGGCCCGCTATTTAACAGCCTGAGCGGTGCCCTTTGGTGACGCGACGCTTGACAATGTGATGTTCTAAGCACAAGAGGATATTGAGAACTAAGAGGGACACGCAGAATACATTCGTGTATGATCCCGAATCAGCATCTAAACCCGGGAGGAAAGTCCGCACTTTTTAAGCCAAAACGTAAAGCTTTTGTCCGCACCCGAAATCCGGGATTATCCGTACGTGGCGGATAGCCGATTTTCACTGGCACTGAGTAGTAAGCGCAGTTTTTCCTTTGCAAAATCGTCAAAAGCTAGTTGACCAAGAGCCTGTGTCGCTTTGGTTTTTACTGGAGAAAATTAGAGACATAACTTCCCTTTCCGTTAGTTTTACCCACTTCCCGCCAGTTAGCGGTCTCTGGTTTATTATTATTATTGTAATTTGGTGAGATTTTCTCGTGAAATAAATCGCACTTACTACCCCGTGTGGGTATCGTTAACGAACTACAATGCTTTGCAAAAGCTTAATAGTAGGCGGAGGGGAAAAGAGAAGAGAGCCTTTAATAAGCGCCCGAGTGACTTGCGGACTCCCCACAGCTGATGGACGTATTCTCCTAGGTCTCCACTCTCTTTTGTTGCTCGCCTTCGAATATCTCAGCATTTAATGTATCACATATGAAAGTAGTACATATACTGTCCAATAATTTTTATAAAGGTCTCCAGCAACGGCTTGGGCTGCTTATGCCAGGCTGTTTTGTCAGCAATTCGGGTGACGGAGGACGCTTATCTTGCCGGGTCTTCTGGGCTTTTCTCTCTCTCTTTTCTCTCCTCGAATTGCTTCCAAGCAATCTACAAAGCGCTGTAATGATTAATTGACGGTTAGATAATCTGGTAGGTTGCAGAAAAGCCGACAAAGACCGGTAGGTGACAGAGCGTACAGAACACGAGAGCAGTCACTGCCTGACAGCGTAAGTGTAACAGATGTATTACAGTATTGGAACAGTATCAGAACTTGGTCTCATTAATCAACCTCTCTAGCTCCTCCATACGACCGTCTACAGAGATTCTGTTATACTGAGACTGTCGGTGCCGTATCGTCCTCAAAGGTTAGCCTACTGCGCAAAAGATCTAGCTCCCCTTTACCCTCGCGCACTCGACCCACCAGTTTCCCTAGGCTGGCCACGTGGTATTGGAGCATGTCCGTAGAGCCCACGTCGAATGTCAAGGTTAACGTCCTTGCAGGTCATCTCGGTCATCTCACAGTGGCCACGCCGGTCTACCGCTCAGCATGCGCACTTCCGCATTTACCCACTGTCTGACAATGCTTGCTGTTCATCCCTGGACACCTTGTCAGGAAAACATACGCAGACGGTCCTCCCATATAGGCCGAGGCTCGATACCAGCCGCCTCGTGCGGAATATTGCGCAAGGCAAAAAATTACAACTCAACCGTAAGTCTAGATGCTAACTAATAGCGCCACCGTGGCTCTGCACGAACGTCATCTCCACACTCAAAACTGCCTTTTGTCGCTCTGTCACAAAATGTCTGCGTATGGGAATCGAACATTCTTTCAACACGGCAGCTGACTGACCTGGGCTTGGTTTGGTGTTTGATTCCGGTAGCAAGGGCTCTCAGTACACTGCACATCAGGCTTCTGCTTCTGCATATACACGTCCCAATAACGGCTCCATATGAATGGGTAATCCAAGACAGAATGATGTCCCGCTTTCCACGGCCCTGAGAAAGAGTGCACCACATGCACATGTGCACGACAAATCGCTCGCGGGTTAGTCAAGAAAGCATCATTCTCGCCACACAGAAAACCCCTCTTCCGTTGGCCGTGATCCCGTTCTCGAATACTATACCCTGCGACCTGGCTCTCTCGTTGCTGCGCTTACGCTCTCTTCGTAATACAGCCCATGAGAAAGTGCGCGGGAGCGTGGGCTACGCCGTTACGATGCGGCAATACCGCTGAGAGCATTTGCTACTTCAAAGTCGGTAATGTGCCTACGACGCGTATATAAACTGTGCTTGGGCATGGTCCTGAAAACAGGACAAAAAATCCCTTGCAGATCGCCGAGCACAATGCGCTTTTCACTCTTGGCGACTTGGCTCTTGTACGGCTTGCTGCCCGTCTCCGCACAGGATACCTCCCTGGGGACTGTGGAAGAAGCTTTCGAAAACGCCAATGTGAGTTTGCTTGGCCTCGCTATTATTCAACGAGCTGACTGATGCGAGGCTGCCGCAAGATACCTAACACTCTCCACATCACGTTCAAACCGTCTGTGCTCCTTGAAGTAACTTTCCCTCAGCCATCAAGCCCCTCAGTCACCATCCATGCCGGGGAACAGCTCCCGAGGAATGGTACACACCTTCCGTACACGACACCTCACTGTGCTATAGCTGACCTAGGGTGTCGTAGCAACCGTCGGGCCCCCACAATTCGCTGTGCGCGGGGCCCTTCCGCCCTCACAACGGTTCGTCATTGCGACTGTGGACCCAGACGCGCCTACACCGCAAGACCCGACCGAAGCGGAAATCAGGCACTTCCTCGCAGGTAACTTCGTGCGCGGCGCGACCACAGGGCCCGGGCAGAGACTCGTGAACGAGACTGTCCCGTTATCGGGGTGGCTGCAGCCCACGCCACCTGCTGGCTCTCCCGCGCATCGGTGAGCATCCTCCTCGGAGCGCTGCACGGCGAGCGCCCTCACAACGGCATCTTGCGTAGCTACGTCTTCCTCCTGTTCGAGCAGCCCGGGGACTTTGACAGCCAGACGTTCGTCACTACGAACACGTCAGTCTCGAACTTCAACATCAGCGCGTTTGCCCAGGAGGTTGGTCTTGGAAACCCCATCGCGGGCAGCTTCATGCTGGTTGCTCCCGATCCCTGTGAGCTGCCGTTAAATCATTGCGGCATTTCCCAGCCAGCTGACTGCCTTCTTAGCGTCCTGAACTGTCACGCATACCACCAAACAAACAGCGCGCTCGCAGAATGTTTGCCATGTCGGTTGCGACACAACTAAATCCGTGGATCGTACTGTTGTTCTGTTAGTAGTGAATCAGCCTACTTCTTGAACTCTTTCTTGATCTGGCATGAATAAAAACGGCGCCTCAGTTTAAGCTACCGCGTGAGAGGCCGGCAACCGGTGACGCGATAACGCGGCAGGTGGGAAGTCCCCGATTCGGTCATCACGCTTTCGAATCCGGCGCGGCGCGCACTTCTAGACCTTCGTTTAGTATATAACAGAAGCATGGAATGCAATGGCTAGGTCCAATACTGCGCACTCCTTTCCACGATCGCTACGATGAGCTGCGAGCAGTGCACGCAAGGCTACGTTGTCGCGGGCGAGCCCACGGGAACCATGGTCGACGGGGCCTACTTCCGCGCAGGTCCTGAAGGCTCCGACGCGTCGAAAGCCGTTGTCATCGTCACGGATATTTACGGCTTGCCGCTGAAAAACTGCAAGATCATTGCGGACGAGCTGTCGAAGAGGGTTGGGTGTGATGTCTGGGTCCCAGACTTGTTCGCCGGTGCGTTTGCTAACGCTCTATTGAATCTCGGCTAATTGACCAACATGTATTGGATGTTGCAGGCAACCCACCCCTCAGCGTCGAACAACTCGGGCCTCTCACTCCTGATCGCCCGGGGCAGAAGATGGGATTGGGAGCCAAATTGCGGTTCTTCCTCATCCTACTCACTCACGGATATAAACTATTTGGCATTCGGGCGTCCGTTGTCGACCCTCGCGCCGCGGAGGCAAGGCCATATGTCAGCGTATCGCGTTTATACTAGGCTAACTATTGTGCCACGTTAGTTTGTGACGAAGATTAAGAAGGAGAAAGGGTATCAGAAGGTCGGCGCGGCCGGGTATGTCATTTCACCGGCTGAAAACGAGCTGCCGACTGAATGTCGTAGATACTGCTTTGGAGGCTCTATGACAGTCCGCCTGGGCTCGACAGATCTCTTCAGCTCTGTTGTCATCCTGCACCCGGGGGCTGTCACTGCCGAGCAGATGAAGGCAATCAAGACGCCTGCCTCCTGGGCATGTGCTGAAGGTATGATGGATGTATTTGGATCTGGGCGCGCTTTGATTGCCCTGCAGATGATATGACCTTCACGAAGTCTCTGCGCGACCAGGCGGAGGCTATCTTTGCCGCTCGGAAGGACAAGCCGGACTATATCGATTACGAATTCAAGGACTACAAAGGTATATTACGCTATCTTTCTTCTTTTCTGCTGGTGGCTGATTCTTCTATAGGCACATGTCATGGCTTTGCTGCCCGCCCTAACCTTGCAATCCCAGAAATTGTGGAAGCATACAATGGAGCGCTTGAGCAGGTGGCCGTATGGTTTCAGAAGACTTTGCAGTGATGACGCTCTCAGGATCTCAGGTCTTGCCTGAGAGCTATATCCCTAGTTTTCCTTTACTGCCTCCGACATTCTCCTTGCTCTGTTGCGTGTGCTGGTATACCCTTAGTGTAATGTATCTGTGGCGAACTTAGGGCCTTTCTGGGTCCAATTTCATTCGATGTGGCATCACTGCATAATTAAAGCAACGTCATACAGCTCAAATTCTGCCGTCTTCGACTAAGTATAGTGGTACATTAACTCATCAAGCTGGTCTAAGGTTAGACACCACAACTCAAGCTTCATGTGCTATTGCTGACCAGGACCGTGTACTTTCATCCGCTTCTCCGTATGCTTTCTCCGTGCGTTTCGCAGTTCTTAGCATCCACATCTTTAGCTAGAAGTAGTCTGTCGCGGACCGCAACAGTGACGAGCAGAATATCCGGAATGAGAAAAAAAATAGGTTCTCGTGTTTGGATCATAAATATATATTGCCTATTTTGAACCAGAAAAGGCCACATTTTCCGGTTTTAAGTTTGGTCATTACGCCGTTACCCATTCCCTTGTTGGTTGGACGAGGTCGGTAAACGATTACACGATGTTGATGTTGATGTCAACACCGACGGAGAATGGCTGTGGTCTGGCATGGACCGCACTAAGACAATGTGACTTTTTTGACAAAACAAAAAGACATTTTTGTATAGTTATCGAACCTGATAGGCCTGATACCGCATATCTTTTATGACAAAGAGGTCCGAGTGTGTAAGCGTGACGCCTGCCACGTGGAATGTTACGCGTGATTCTAGAGAGTTCCGTGGGAAAACGTTCAAAAAGTCTGGTTCGCCGTTGAGCACGCTTTGCTCGCCGAGCTCTCTCCCTCTCGTCGTCCACCACCTCCATCTCGCCATGCATCACCTCTCGCACAACTCTACCCGCGCTCTGCGCCGTGCTGCTGCCAGGGCTGCTCGTCCGTCGCTCACCCGCGGCGCGCACAAGGAGATCAAGTTCTCCAACGACGGCCGTGCGAGCATCCTGAAGGGTGTTGACGTCCTCGCCGACGCCGTTAGCGTGACGCTTGGCCCGAAGGGTCGCAATGTGATCATTGAGCAGTCCTTCGGTGGTCCGAAGATCACTAAGGGTGAGCATTGGTGTCTATTTGCTGTTCTGTACAGCGGGTCCCAGTCCGCGTTATGACGTGTTCGCATGCACGTTCAAAGCGCGAAGCCGCCGTTGGCTGGCACTACGCAAGCTCGACATTACTGACGAGAAAAATGGCCGGCACAATGTGTCCGGCGCGTCGTCGTCTTCGTTCGCCATTGTATGCCGATGTCGGCATGGATCGGGACGCTCGACTCCGAAACTGTGGGGATATTTGCTGCTGCACCCTTGCGCCATCGCGCACGACGCGAATGACGTGGCTGCTCACCGCGACCCAAATAATTTGGTTGAACTGCTCGCATAGTGTTGGCTCCGGTCACAGGCGGCATGTCCGGACTTCGCGTCTCCTGAATGGGGCACTCGTCTTTCGTAAAAGGTTTTCAGGCAACTTACTGATCCTGTCCTTCAGATGGTGTTACTGTTGCGAAGTCCATCTCTCTTAAAGACAAGTTCGAGAACCTCGGTGCCCGGTGAGTAACTACTCTATCCCACGGATTTGTCTCACTGACTTTGCATGCAGTCTTGTCCAGGATGTCGCGCAAAAGACTAACGAGATTGCTGGTGATGGCACTACCACGGCCACTGTCCTCGCTCGTGCAATTTATTCGGAGGGTGTAAAGAACGTTGCTGCTGGCTGCAACCCAATGGACCTCCGCCGTGGCTCGCAGGCTGCTGTAGACCGTGTTGTCGAATTCCTCTCGTCGCAAGCCAAGACAATTACCACCACCGCTGAGATTGCTCAGGTCGCCACTATCTCTGCTAATGGTGATACCCACATCGGCAACCTCATTGCCCAAGCCATGGAGAAGGTTGGCAAGGAGGGTGTCATCACTGTTAAGGAGGGCCGCACCATTGAGGACGAAATTGAGATCACTGAGGGCATGCGCTTCGACCGTGGTTTCACCTCTCCGTACTTCGTCACCGATGTTAAGACCCAGAAGGTCGAGTTCGAGAAGCCTCTCATCCTCTTGAGCGAGAAGAAGATCTCTGCACTCCAAGATATTCTTCCCTCCCTCGAGATTGCCGCCCAGCAGCGCCGCCCGCTGCTTGTCATTGCTGAGGACGTCGATGGCGAGGCCCTTGCTGCATGTATTTTGAACAAGCTCCGTGGTCAACTCCAGGTTTGCGTTGTCAAGGCTCCCGGATTTGGCGATAACCGCAAGTCTATCCTCGGCGATCTCGCGATCCTCACTGGTGGTACCGTCTTCACCGATGAACTCGACATCAAGCTCGAACGCGTCACCGCTGATATGCTCGGCTCGACTGGTTCTATCACTATTACTAAGGACGACACTATCGTCCTCAACGGCGAGGGCAGCAAGGACGCGATCCAGGCTCGCTGCGAGCAGATCCGCGCGCTCGTTGCCGATCCCACGACTAGCGAGTTCGACAAGACCAAGCTCCAGGAGCGTCTCGCGAAGCTTTCCGGCGGTGTCGCTGTCATCAAGGTCGGCGGCAGCAGCGAGGTCGAAGTCAGCGAGAAGAAGGACCGCTACGACGATGCGCTGAACGCAACTCGTGCTGCTGTCGAGGAAGGTATCCTCCCCGGTGGTGGTGTCGCTCTCCTCAAGGCATCCCTTATGCTCTCTTCCAGCGCGCCCAGCGGCTCGAGCCTGCCCACCTCCCCTGACGCGAAGCCCCTCCCAACCGCGAACTTCGACCAGGACCTTGGTGTGCAGATCATCCGCCGCGCGCTCACCTACCCCGCCCGTACGATCTACAAGAACGCGGGCGAAGAGGCGTCCGTCATCGTTGGTACCCTTCAGCAGCAGTACGCTACTGCCGACAAGTTCGCGTGGGGCTATGACGCGAGCAAGGGTCAGTACGTCGACATGATCCAGGCCGGTATTGTCGACCCGCTCAAGGTTGTCCGCACCGCGCTCGTTGACGCCGCTGGTGTTGCTTCGTTGCTCACCACTTCCGAGGCGTGCGTCGTGGAGGCCCCTGAGGAGCCTGGTAAGGCCCCAATGGGCGGCATGGGCGGCGGCATGGGTGGAATGGGCGGCATGGGCGGCTTCTGAGCACGGCGGCGAGCTGAGCACCGCTAGGGCTTTGGATAGATTCTGGGACTCAAAAAGTATTCTAGCTTACTCTGCTGCATCTCACCTCTGTCGTTCCATACCTCGCACATCCTCACTTTGTCGTCGCAATGCTGTCCCTGTATTTTATGTTCACACTAGTCGCCTATCTCCCCTGCAATGGAACCCACCACTCACGATTTACTTGTGCGTTCGCATGCTCATTGTTGCACGATTCCGGGCAAAGAGTAAACTAGTAAACTTTGACGGTGGCAGCCTCCGGAGCGCCAGTGGAAAATAGAATGTTGAGCTCGCGCGCACGGCAGTCGACCAGTTGTGGAACGATGTCTGCAGTCTCATATATAAAAGTTTTCTTTTGACCGCCTCACGACTCGTCTTCCGTCTGTTCCCAGCCCTTCATTTCCTCCGTCACTTCGCAGCTGAACTAAACGATGTCGAAAGCCGAAAAACGTGCCAAGTTCGAGAAGGTGTACACCGTCATCCGTGATGAGCTCGTCGAGCATATCAAAGCGCAAGGCATGCCTGCTGAGGCTATCGCTTGGTACACCAAGGTGCGGCACTCCTCTCTGACCCTGATATTGTCACGGCTGTGGAATCCTGCCTGCGGAATCGGTGAGAGAGTAGATCTAACGAGGCGCGGTGGTAGAACTTCGACTACAACGCTCCAGGTGGTAAGCTCAACCGCGGCCTGTCTGTCGTCGATTCCGTTCAGATACTCAAGGGGCGTGCCTTGACGGATGAGGAGTACTTCAAGAGCGCTGTCCTGGGCTGGTGTGTTGAGCTCGTGCGTACACCTGCTCCTTTCGCTTCGTTGCGCGCGTTAACATGCAACCTCACAGCTACAAGCATTCTTCCTCGTCTCGGACGATGTCATGGACTCGAGCATCACCCGCCGCGACCAGCCGTGTTGGTACCGCAACGAGGGTGTTGGCCTTATCGCGATTAACGACGCATTCTTGCTCGAGGCCGCCATCTACTGGCTCCTGAAGAAGCACCTCCGTGGGGACAAGTCATATATCAACTTGGTCGAGGCGTTCCACGAGGTGCGCGACATGTCGTGTCAGTTGCGGCGTCTTGACTAACGTATGAATCCACAGGCAAGCTTACAGACGGAGTTTGGCCAGCTCCTCGATCTCATCACTGCCCCTGAGGACAAGGTTGATCTCAGTAAGTTCTCACTCGAGAGGTACGTAATGTATCTACCTGTCAAACAGCCTATGGCTAACTCTTTTGCAGGCACCGTCTCATCGTGCTCTACAAGACCGCGTTCTACTCCTTCTACCTGCCCGTTGCACTCGCTATGTACTTCAGCGGCATCTCGCACCAGGAGTCGCAGGACCCGTATGCACTCGCATCCTCGATCTTGCTCCCCCTCGGCGAGTACTTCCAGGTTCAAGACGACTACCTCGACTTTGCGGGCACGCCGGAGCAGATTGGCAAGATCGGCACAGACATCATTGACAACAAGTGCTCGTGGTGCATCAATACTGCGCTTGCGTCCGCGAACGCCGAGCAGCGCGCTGTGCTCGATGCCAATTACGGCCGCAAGGACGCCGCGGCGGAGCAGCGCATCAAGCAGATCTTCAACGCCACCGGCGTCCACGAGAAGTATGCCAAGTACGAGGAGGACGCGTACAAGCGCATCATGGGCCTCATCCAGACCATCCCCGAAGCTGGTCTGGGTGCCGAGGGCGAGGTGAAACTCAAGCGCGAGGTCTTCGTGAGCTTCCTCGAGAAAATTTACAAGAGGCAAAAGTGAACGGAATAATGATTTGGCTTTGATACTTGTATACCTTTCATTTTGAGCCAACCATCTGGTATTTATGGATTGCTTGTGGGCGACATGTCTGCATGGCGTGCGGCGCTTCAAGCTTCAGGTCTCGGGCTCGAACTTCAGCGACAGATAGCCTAGCCTGCTCTTGACCAACGCCACCTCTTCGACACTTGTGTTGTTGGCACTTAGGCTTGCTCAGCAAGAAGCTGATCGACGAGCATATTGAGTGGTGGGCTTTCTACCAAAGTGCGTATCATGGATTTATCGTTGCGTTCGTGATACTGATAGCTACGTTCTCGCAGAGTGCGTCCTAGTTACCGCCACACGTAATTGATCTAATCTATTGTTCAGCTCTGCATCACTGCTCTTGCCGGGATTGGCAAGTACGGCGTGAGCTTATTGGAACCTTGTTTCTTGAATATCATGCCAGGGCTTCATATGCGGCCTCATGCCAACCGTGTGCCGGATTTGGGACGTCTAGGCAGCCTCAAGGCAGCGTCTAGAGAACTCTCCATCGATCCAAATAGTCGAACAGCTGTTCGCCAATACGAACTAGGTCGGCTTCTCCATATTCCTAAGTTTGGTTGCGTTTTGATAGGCATGCAACACTACCCTTTGCTAGAGCATGGCAGCAGACACCGATCGTGAAATCCCAGTGCACACCCTTTCGCGCCATCCAGATCTGTGGTTCGAAGACGGAAACATAGTCCTCCAAGCAGAGGACACTGTGTTTAAAGTCTTCAAGTCTGTGCTATCCAAGCACGCACTGCTATTCGCGGACATATTCTCTTTGCCTCAGCCGAGTAAAGAACAGGAGCAGTATGACGGGTGTGTCCTTGTTAAGGTGCACGACGAACCAAAGCATATGGCAACGTTCTTGCAGGCAATATTTGATCCGACGTAAGTCGTGTGTCTGTGTATACAGCTCACAACGCTCATAAGCTGCGCGCTTAGGTTCCTGCTTGGCGACTCGTGCAGCGGCCACGAATACGCCGAGCTGCTTCGACTCTCGACAAAGTACCAGGCCCACTCTCTCCGCCGTCAAGTCTTCACGTTCCTGCAGCACGACTATCCAGACACGCTGTCGAAGTACGATCACGTCGTGGGCGACGGATGCCAGTGCTCCGTGTCTCGAGGGGTGAAAGGTAGGGGCTGGGCGCTGGATGCTGCGGTCGCAAACGCAGCCAGAGACGCGGATGCGCCACTTCTCCTCCCCGCAGCCTTGCTCTCCCTGTACTCCGCTGGGATGGACATCATCGTGGACGCCGGGAGCTCAGGCCTCCTGCAGCCACTGAACAGAGACGTGCTCCTGAAGGCGATCCCGGGCATGTGGTCCCTCGGAAAGGAGCTCACGTTCGAGCCGCTCTTCTCCGAGCAAATGCACATCACCACCAAGTGCAACTCCACCTCGACCGGTGCGTGCTTCCGGAACCGGCACAAGCTCAGAGCTGAGCTTGAGGTTGCACCCTCGCTCATGAACCCAGTGACACCCGTCTCTTTCCAGCCGGGTGGCACAGTCGCTGGGTTTTGCTCCTCATGTCAGAAAGCCGTGCAGGAGAGGTACGAGAAGGTCCGCCAAGAAGCTTGGGACAAGATTCCGGAGGCGTTCAGGCTGCCAGAGTGGGATGAGATGCGTAAGAGGGAGGAGGAGCTATATAGCACAACAGGACCTGGATCAGGTGCGATTGCCTAGATGGGATGAGCTTAAACGTACTTGTAGTCTTTCATAGAAACTGACTTTCGCCTTGAGATGTTTCAAAGTTCGACCCTCGAGACTGATGGCTTCGTGGCGCCCGGCGAGGTTTGTACCCGTGGACTTTTGCTTGTACCCGAACGCGGATCGAGTGCCCTAAGAGGCTCGATTTGTACCCGAATTAGCTATCTATGGCATGGCCTACCCAGAAAAATTAGCACTCTGCGGTGGCACGCAAAGCGCGCCCCGACGACTTGAAGGACGACAGCTGCGCTAAATTATTGCGGGAACTTCCCTGCTCTACGTACCTTCCGCTTCCGTCTTAGGTGATAGTTTTCAATCAGCTGTAATAAAAACAAGCACTGGGCTACCTTCAGGTGGCGGCATGGTGTGCGTAACGACGGAGGCAGCTGATTCTGTGTGCAGCAAATACATCGCTGGAACCGCACAACAACTTTTCGAGGCGTGATCACCACGCACACACAGTCGGGATCACTCGCGTCTGCCGAGACTGAGATGCAGTCATGGCTGCAAATGACTGTGAATACGGTCATGGCTCCATACTCACACCGCTACTCCAGAGGCGAGGTTCCGAGACCATGCGGTGAGCGGCATGAGCTTCAAGCTCCTCCTGCAGGATAATTCGCTCATTCGGGGGGTTGGATTTTACTTGTCCGAGGGTATGGGTAGCCCATCAATGGGGGATGGCTCATCGGCACATTGGGCGGTCAAATATAATGCATTATAATGCACCGTCGGGCATTTATAATGCGTTATAATGTGATTTTTAGTGATTTTTGAGTTTATAATGCAAGATAACGGACCAGATCGCATTATATTGCATTTTAATGCAATATAATCTCCGTCCCTTTTTGCCGATACTGAATATTGCGGCGTTCTTGCAGAAATTCTCGTAGAACGGTGATCTTCGCACCAGTACTAGTACGGCTGTGCATGATGATTAACTCGCTCTGTCACGGGACGCTGGCTCGAGGAGCCCTCAGATCAAATGAAAGAGATGAGTTGATATCCACTATTGAGCCGTGAGACCCAGGAGACCCATGCGTGCACGCGAAGCTTGACTGACTACAGTCGTTAAGTTAATAATGCATAAACGCTCATAATGCATAAGGCAAGGCGGGGACGGACTCGGTCACCGCAAGGTTGTGCAAAATATCTCATAGTGCATAATGCATAAGGAATTTGGTGGACCGCCGCCTTTGAGACCGCCATTGTGCATAAAATAATCAGTCGAGAGGGTTATATCTATTTATAAAATTTGTAACTGATTTCCCATGCCCTGATAGCTGTTTAGAAGCACCTTACATCATGCCTCTCAGCCCACAGAAGTGTACGCCGTATGAGAACAAAAATCTGCATACATTAGTAGTGCTCGCATCAAAGCGGCTAGCAGACTGGCAGCCAATGACAATAACTCACGCGCACAGGCGTCGGCTCCTCTCAGCCAAGCTCAGAATAGTTGAAGAAGATCATGTAGTGAATGGAGCTCTTAATGCAAGAGCTCAGGTGTGTATAGCCACTTGCAGAGCCTTATAATCAGCTCAAAATGCAGTTAATGCACGATGCGTGACATACGTGACAGCAAATTGGCTCAAAGTCACAAAAGTCACGGGACGTGACATATTTGTCATGCATAAATCATCAGCGAAAAAATCGGCGGCTTATATAGCCTGGGCAGCCCTGGTAAAGCTAACCTCACTTACAATGGTAATCATTCTGGGAACAAATATTTCAACGTAGATATAGCACCATTTTGATTTATCAAACATATCAGTCTGGGATCCTTTAGCATGCATAGCATGCTGGTGAGGTTGGTATGCGCTGGCAAGGCATTACCAGCGAGCGCCAGTCTGGGTATCCGCTCGCAATAAATCGTTGAATATTTCAATATATTGGGAGCCACCTTGCACATCATAATTGAAAACAAAGAATAATATATTCGCAAAGCTACAGTAAATACATGGGCGCAGGTAGGTGTTATGAACACATCGGTGACGTCGAACAGTCGAAGCGGCCGCATGTCGTTGCCGCATGTTGCCGCTGCATGTTGCCGCCGTATGTGTCACTCGCACTGTAAGCGTTTGACGACAAGCAGCCCTCGCAGTGGTGCATGTTGCGCGGGGATCGAGTCCTGGACTGGACGCACATGTGAGCATTCATCATGTGGGAGCCTACAGACTGCGATGCATACCGTGAACGCAGTGTGCATGCCGTTAGGTGCGCTATACGAGACAAGGTGC